TCATCTAGTACACAGATTCCTGCATCGGTACATTAATGTAGTGGGAGGATTATCATCTAACCGACAGAATCATGTTTTTAGGTGAGAACATTATGGACATCCCTGTTAAACATGAGTTGGACCCAGTAAGCTACACGGAAGCGTGAACCGATATGGATACAGATCGTTTTGGTGAGTTACTATGAAATCAGAGTTGGAATCTATGTATTCTAATAAATTCTGGGATCTTGTAGAACTTTCTAGTAAGGTGATACCTATGGAAGGCAAGTTAATCTACAAAAAGATACCAGAAGATTTCTTAGTGAATAAATCATGAGTGTACAAGGGAATGTCATTATTTTTCTTAATTCTATATATTGATGACATCCTACTCATTTATAATGACGTGGAAGTTTTGTTATCAATAAAAAGGTAGTTGTTCAATTACTTTTAAATGAAGGATTTTCAAGATGTAAGCTATATTCCTAGGATCAAGCTTTTGCAAGATCAGGTTAAAAGGAAAATAGGCTTATCTTAATAATCCTACATTGATAAAGTTTTGACCAGGTTGGTATGCATAACTCAAAGAATGAGTTCTTGCTTTATTGATATGGATTGCTCTCTCTAGTAAGTAGTTTTTCAAGACTATCAAAGGAGATTGAGCAAATGAGACTGGAACAATATGCTTCGGCATATGAGAGTCTCGTATATGCCATGGTCTATACCAAACAGGACATCCGCTACATAGTAGGGATAGTCAGTAAAGATCAGTCCAATACTAGACTTGACAACTAGTCTGTTGTGAAAAATATCATTAAGTACCTAAGGAGAATCAATGATATCATACTCATTTATGGATGTGATGATATGGTCCTAGTCAGGTATGCTAGTTCTGATTTTCAATCAGAAGTAGATACTATGAGGTTCATGACTTAGTGTATGTTCACTTAATGGAAGGGAAATCAGTTGGTAGATTGTTAAGCAGATTTCAACTGCTGACTCAAACCTGCAGGTGGAATATATTGCAGCCTTAAAGGCGGCAAAAGAAGCCTATTGGTTTGATCTCACTGATTTAGAGGTTGTGGAGCATACTAGCCTGCCTATCGAGCTATATTGCGACAATAGTGCAGAAGTAGTCCAAACCAATGACCCAAGGTTCCATAGATGAACAAAATACACTGATAGGAAGTATCATGTTCTACATGATATTGTCCGGCAAGAAAATGTACTTGTGGCTAGAACATTGCATTGGAACACAACTTTGTTGATCCATTAACGAAGGTGTCGTCGATCAATAGTTTTGATCAACACCTGGATAACATTGGAGTTAGATGCAATTTAAATTGGCTGTGAGTAAAATGTACTTGTGGCTAGAACATTGCATTGGAACACAACTTTGTTGATCCATTATCAAAGGTGTTATTGATCAATAATTTTGATCATCATCTGGATAACATTGGAGTTAGGTGCAATTTGAATTGGTTATGAGGGCAAGTGGGAGCTGTTGGAATTTATATGCCCTGGCATAGCAAATTCCTATTTGGATTAAAGTGACATATGTTCCTGACGTTTATGAAATATTTATGTTTTATACAATTGATGAATTCAATGTATTATATTTCGATTCATTATAGAATTGATAGTGTCCATTTGATTACAAGAGATATTTATATATATGTTTGTGATGGCAATCAATGCATGATATATAAATAGTAATCATAAATGGTTCATAGTCGGTAATTATGGATGGACTCATAATTAATTAAGATTTGAACTGGATCCGCGTTAGGTTGAGATATATTGCGAGAGCCGTCGTATGCAATTGTTCCCTATCACCGTCATGGCATTTGACTCTTAAGTATGAGAAAATTATAGACTCTTTTATTAATTAATAATTACTTTGATTTATTCGGCGGATTCTTCGGGATCCTTAGACCGACACTTTGGGTAGTTATGTAATTAATAGTTAGAGGGTTATATTTTCAATATTTGCATCATTGCTACTTGTATTTATTTTGTATTGATTATATTTGATCACAAAGTAAATTCGAAGGCCTTCGTGTATTTTTAGACAAAATGATTTATTATATATTTATTTATTTAAATTATTATTTTTGTCAAACAAATGTTTTATTGTGATCGAGCCAAAAATAATCAAAGGTACCAAAACAAATATATTAATTAAATAGTCGGATTGATGGCTTTATTTATCCGATAACTAATCATGCATAGAGGGGTCAAAGTGCAATATTGACTTAGAGGTTATTTATTATTTAATTGGAGTTCAATTAATTTCTTTTAGTGGAGTAGAAATTAATTTATGAATTAATTGAATTGGGTCCATGGACCGGGCCAATTATTAATTCATTGTAGCCAATAAAATAATAGGCCCAATGGATTCTCACTCATAGCCCAACTTGATATTGGAATCATATTAGATTTGATATATGTGAATTAGAGATTGAGAAGGATTAGTTGTTTCCTTTTCTTTACATTTATGTTGCCTATAAATATACATGATCTATGTATATTTTAGGAGTGATTTTTAGTAGAAGGAAAAAGGAATATATTTTCTCTCTCTAGAAAATTAGGGTTTATGTTCTCATCTAATGGAGGCTCCCACAAGCCTAGTTTTCCAAGGTCATTCATGGAGGCATATGAGTGATTCCTAAAGGCAAAACAATTACCAAGAAGATGGAAATCCAAGGAGAATGCATCTTGCTAAGGGATCTACAATAAGTGAGAACATTCACTTTAGAGGAGAGATCTAAGGTTTACTCAAACCTTAATGTAAGTATTCAATCTTTTAATTGAATGATACATCATGTTTTATTTTTGCATAAAACTTGTCTTTATGTAATGAATCAAGATCTATGAATTTAAATCCCTCGAAAAGTTTTTAAAACTAGCACGTTTCCCAACACAAAGAACCCGGACCCTGTGTGCAGAAGAGAGAACCAAATTCAAGCAGTAATGAAAATACATTATTTTATAAAATTGGCCTTCTCTAATTTTAAAAACTGATCTCAACTAACTAAATGTTATATTAATTTTTACTAAATACATTTTAACTAAATGTTATATTAATTTTTACTGTGCGTACTGATGACCTGGTATCCCCGGTAACTACTTCAGACCATGGTAGTGGAGCCGGGTAAGAAGTGGGGTCAGCGGGTAAAAAATAATTGTCCTGTTCAATTAGTGAGATGGTGTGGCATCCCTAATAGGGCCCTATTGGACCTGAATCTGACGTAACATTGTTTCCTCAATAAATCAAAGTGATCATACACTTTCTTTTTTTTCTGTTTTTTCACAGATAATACACAATTGGATTGGAACTATTTGTTTATCACTTTCCTAGGAGGAATGCTTGCTCTTCAAAACAGAATCAATCTATCAATCTGTCCAATCACTCAAAGGCGTGTGGGTCCCACCACCCCAATGTGGTGGGACCCACCAGGGCCACCACTATTGTCTGGCCTCACCTCAGGGCCACCACTGTTGTCTGGGCCGAATCGGGCCAAATACAAAACAATTTTCAGAATAATAAGAATATATATATAGAATCAAATATATAGAATCAAATATCTCTGATCCAGTGATCGAGCTTTTGAGAAATACGGTCATCTTCATCATCCTCAACAATCCTTGTGTTTTTGTGGACGTTATTCATTTCCCTCTAGTGGAGACCGATCGAATCACTGAACAGAGGTGGGTTTTGGGTTGGATTGTAGGCCTCTACCGAAGAAAGACAAGTCGTTACATCTTGGAAGATAGACGCAAATAAGTCCGCTAACACCATAGCGGTGCGAATCTGTCTTAAGGATATAGAATCAAATTCTAACCTTGACTTATAATCAGGTTCCTTTATTTTGTATACTTTTATTTTATTATATATTATTTTATAATAATACTTATATATATATATACACACACACACACATTATATATTTACTTATTATTTAAATAATAATATTATAGTATATGGTAGAATTATACCACATATTTTTGGACAACATGAATATATATGTGTGCTTTCAAAAATAAATTCAGAACAATCAGATTTGATTTTTTGAATAATATATCTCTAAAGGCTTTCTCAAAATATTAAATTGATATTCCTCAAAGCCATACCTCAATAATGAATGAAAGATGTATTATATAGAAGTTTGGAAGACCTAAGCATACTTGTAAAACAAGTAGATTCGTGCATAGGTTTATGGAAGGAAGTCTGGACCAAAAAAGAATCAAAACAGATAAGGAAACTGAAGTTTCTAAACTGATCAGGAGACCTTGAGGCTTGAACCAGTTCAGGATTTGTTGAACCGGTGTTCTCACACACTCACAAACTTTCCTAAAGTATTATTCTCATCATCCCGGAGTGTATTAAATCATGAACACTTGAATTTCTTCAAATTTATATCCGATCTTCAATCTTGAAATTTTGAATCGAAAAATTATAACTCGATCGGATTTGTTTTGATAACAAAATTAGCCAAGTATACAATATATATCTCACACATATTATATGATTTTGTAATATTATAATGCTATTAAATTGAAAATTTCGTTATTGATTTAAAACTCTTTCATTCATGATTTCGAAAATGACACACAATATAAAAACCAGAGGCGGACAAAAGATGCTGTAAGGTAGTATGACGAGGTTGTCCCATTGATAAATTCTTCCCTTTACCGTTTTGTACATACAGTATTTGGATAATGCCGTAAAGTCAAAGTAGCAAGAAGCTCTCCACGCTTTGACTTTTAAGCCATAGAGCACACGTCATCCAAATAGAAAAGGCGTGTTCAAATAATCATCTTCTTTTAATTAATGGAAAGGAAAAAGGAAAAAAAAAAAAAAAAAAATCCAGTCTATTGACTTGACTTGTCCAATTATTTCTTCTCCCTGACTCTAATCCAACCAGGCTTCATCTCAGCCGTCAATCCTACCACATTTCATATCAAACGGGTCGAGGACTATTGTATGACACCATACCACAAGAATCCAAGCAGTGTGACAATGGAGTCATTAACATTTTCTCAACTGCAAAGCATGCCATTGTATAAATACATGAGGTCTCATTACTACAAACATCACAAGCCCCTCCTTTCTCCAACATATAATCTTCAGCTTTTCCCTCCATTTTCATAATTAGTTCAGCTCTTCTTTAACATCGACAATGGTAAGTTTATTGTGTCTTTTGTCTTCGAATGTTCTAAATATATTTTGCATTTGTTATATATTTTGATTTGAAATTAAAATATAAAATTACGGGCATTCATAATGTTAGTTTGTATAGTTTACATACTTTTTCATGTAGAATTGGAAAAACTCATGGAGAGTTAATAATTCTGTGATACTTTTTTCACCTTTTAAAATAGAATGCCAAGATTGAAATTCCACAGAAAAATGTCGGAGTGAGTTTTTTTTTTTTTTTTTTTTTTTCAAGTAGTATGATGAGGTTGTCCATTGATAACTTTACTCTTTAATGATATATATTTCCTGAATATCCTTATATTATATGGGGTGGTTTAATTCTTATGAATTGAATGGAATATTTCATTTATTAACACTAGTGTTTTACTAATTAATAATTGTTCAATACCTTTCATGCAATTTGTCTAATTTTGAGTCGAGACTAATAAAATTTTGTTTGATCATGTCTTTGAATTTTATATCTGGTGATCAACAGCCTCTCACACTTGAATTCAAGGTATATTGTTCTTCATTCTCTTTACATCTATATATGCCCATATTATTTTTATTTATTGATTTCTTATTATTATTTCCTGAATTATATTATTATTACTACTTGTATTTGTTATCTTACTAACAGTAATTCCTGATTCAGAAGGAACTTGAACAAAGGTCAGAAAGAGTTAAATCGGTGGATTTCCATCCAACAGAGCCATGGTAATTATTAATTTTTTTTAATCAGCCTTGTTGTACCTTCCAAATTTCTAACCGCGTGTTTATTCTTGTTTTAATTTTAAAATTGCTGGTATTAGCAAGATGTATAATTATCACTTATATAATGAACAAATTATCAATTGTTTTCACATTTCAATACACATGGTGACTAGTGGATGCTGCAATATATTTAATCCAAAGTGTTTTAAGTTTTTTTTTTTTTTTTTAAAAAAAAAAAAGGGTTCATTGATGATTCGTTTTTGTTTTACTGAACTGTGGTGCATAATACTTGTTCATGCAGGATTCTAGCAAGTTTACATTCAGGAACAGTGTGTAGTTGGAACTACCAGTCACAAGTAAGAAACTTTGTTTCTTTTACATAATTATGTTATGCTTGAAGTGATCCGTTATTTCAGTTAAATCTAATCCTAATTAGCCATTTTCTTAAATTCAGCAGCATCTTCTTCATATAGTCATTTCCCGGCATCTGTTCTCTCTGTTCCCTAATTAGATTTTCTGTTTTGGATTTAAAAGATACTGATATTTAATCATTTATACTTTTACAGGCTATGGAGAGGTCTTTCAAATTAACAGACTCACCTGGTATACAATCAACACATTTTTTGTTTGCATTTTCCCTTTCATCTAACACAATTCACTCTAGTTTGTGTATGTGTTTGCAGTAAGATCAGCCAAGTTTATAGCGCGTGAACACTGGATTGTTGCTGGATCTGATGACAAGTTTGTCCATGTATACAACTACGATACCAATGAAAAAGTTAAACATTTTGAGGCGCACACAGATTATATCAGGTCTTTGGCTGTGCATCCTACCCTTCCATATGTTCTTTCTGCATCCGATGACAAGCTCGTAAAGCTTTGGGATTGGGAGAAGGATTGGGCTTGCACTCGAATCTTTGAAGGACACAGCCATTATGTCATGCAAGTAGCATTTAATCCAAATGACACCAACACCTTTGCTAGTTCATCACTTGACTGCACAACAAAGGTATGACTAAGAGTCCAAGTATTTTGCAACTCATGAAGTTATTTTTTTGCTAGAGAAGGCATAGTTGTGCTTTTTATGCTAAAAGAATTGTATGTTTTTTTTCAGATTTGGGATATTGGCTCCCCTAGTCCGAAATTCACTCTGGAGGGCCATTCGAAAGGGGTAAATTGTGTTGGTTTCTTCACAGCTGTTGATAAACCATATCTGATCACTGGTTCCGATGACTATACCACTAAGGTCTGCCATAATGTTATTCATTTTCTTAAGCGTAGCAGAGTTTTAGTAGACATGTAATGTAACTTGAATATACTCACTGTTAAATCCTATGAAATCAGGTGTGGGATTGTGACACCAAAACTTGTGTCCAGACGCTAGAAGGCCACACGAACAATGTAACTTCAGTATGTATTCATCCAGAAATTCCCATTATCATTACAGGTTCTGAGGATGGGACTGTTCGGATATGGCATGCAACAACTTATAGGTAACTTCTGTAAGTTGTAAACTAATTTATAACAAGTTCAAATGGCTAGAAAACACTGCCTGACCTTTGCTTCAAGCGAAACAACCTTACAATTTTTCAGACATTTGTAAAATATCAGCTGCCTTTACATTTGCTTGCTTAAATTTGGATTGAAAGTTCACGTGAGTCAATTTTAACTCGGATAATATTTTTTGTTTTGGTTAAAATCTTCAAATATGTCTTCTTCTTTTTTCTGTCTTCCTTTTCTTGGCCCTATTATGTCCTAAAAATGAGAGCCTATTTTGTCAAAAAAAAAAAAGAGTCCTCATTAAATTTATCCATTTAAGAATGGATCCTCCTCTGCTATATTTCTATCCTAGATTCACATATTGCCTAGAAGAACAGATGGTTACTTGATGTCTGATATCAACCTTGGTCTCAATGTATAACGATCATATTTGGTTGGTTTTTGGAATGCTGGCAGAAGAAAATTCAAACCAACCCAATATCATTATTTCAACCATAGAAATAAAAATGCTAGAACAAGAAAACTTGAGCATTTTCGTACTTTGAGCCCTAACATTTTGGTTCTATTCCAGATCAATTGCTTATATTTTTAGTAATTATTCTATCAAATGATTTTTAGTTCAGCTACTTCTCAATCTCAAATTACTCAATCGCTCATTGTTGTACAGGCTTGAGAACACACTGAATTATGAACTCGGAAGAGTTTGGCATATTGGATGCATGAGAGATTCATCCCAGTAAGTTTTTCAGATAATTTCCTTCATTCGTATCCTTAGTTGTAAATTTCTAGGAAAATGCTCGATGTACCCTTCGATTATGAAAAAATGTTATGATATCTCTACCCCATCAGTGTCACGCCCTTGGCACCATGGACATTTATTGGCCTAAGTTGCAGAAAACAGAACAATTTGTTCTTAATCATCATTTTGTTTTCATCACTCACTTTTCTTATGCATGTAGCAAACGCAATTAGTCAGTATACAGCTGAGTTGTGTTGCCATGGCAAGTGTTTGGAAAAATGGATATGGATTCCATTGTTGAAATTTTTTTCGAATACCTTTTTCTACTTCTTTTTATCTTATATTTTCTTCGTGTCCTTACTGCTACTGTTACTTCTCATGACAGAATTGTAATTGGTTGTGACCAAGGAACCATAATGGCAAAAGTGATCGGTTCTCACAGTTGGGATTCTGCGAACCTTGACGATGACAAATGAATAACTTCAATTTACTTGATGCCGAGGAGTATGGCTAGCGCTTGGCGGCTAGAGCAGTAGCCATACTGCTCTAGACCACTGCTATTACAACCATATGGTGTGTTTTGAAAGAATAACTTCTTCTATCTTTCAGTTGGGAGATAGACTATAAAGGTGTAAAAAGTAGTACTATGTGTGTATTGTGTGTTTTGTAACAACTCCAAAAGGATATGACTATTAAGGTCACTAGAATCATTTCTAATGTCCTGCATTGTATATGTCATTTTGGAGTAATCAAATATTATTACTTTTTTGGAATTCAATTAAGTTGTTTGCTGGGGAAAAGTGTTGCTTCAGATGATTAATATATTTTATGCTGAATATGAATGTCAACAAGAGGTTAGAGAATCGTCAGTTTACTTTGGAATGATGTCTATGGCTAATAATGGCTTGAAGGATTTGAATATTAGGAATACTAGGCTTGTCGCAATAAACAATTTGCAGTGTATTTTAAAATCATGTTTATGTATTAGTGAATATAAGTGACCCCTTCAATGAATGCAAGAAAAAAAAAAATGTTTTGAAATTGACAATCAATGCAATTTATCATAATTACTCAAGAGATTATTACCTCTCATTGATCTAAGATGTTAACAAAACAGAGATTGACCTTTTAAACAAGACACAAAAATAAAAATAAAAATAAAAGAGTCGTGATACTCGAATTGAAGTCCGAATTCTGTGTTTGCATTTTCTCCTACCATCTCTAACACAATTCACTCTAGTCTTTACATTTCAAGTTTTCAACTTGTATGTGTTTTGCAGTAAGAGCAGCAAAGTTTTTCTTTATTTTTTTCGGAAATTTATCAGCGAAGTTTATAGCACGTGAACACTGGATTGTTGCTGGAACTGATGACAAGTTTGTCCATGTATACAATTACCATACCAATGAAAAATTAAAGAATTTGAGTTGCGCACAGATTTTATCAGGTCTTTGGCTGTGCATCCTACCTTTCCATATGTGCTTTCTGCCTCTGATGACATGCTCGTAAAGCTTTGGGATTGGGAGAAGGATTGGGTAATGTTATGCTATGGTAATGTTTGCCTTTTCAGATTTGGGATATTGGCTCCCCTAGTCCGAAATTCACTTTGGAGGGCCATTCGAAAGGGGTGAATTGTGTCGGTTTCTTCACAGATGGTGATAAACCATATCTGATCGCCGGTTCTGATAACCATGCCACTAAGGTCTGCCATAATGTTATTCATTTTCTTAAGCAAAGTAGAGTTTCGGTAGACATGTAATGTAATTTGAATGTTGTGTCCGAACGATAGAAGGCGACACAAACAATGTCACTGCAGTATGTGTTGATCCAGAATTTCCCATTGTTCTGAGGATGGAACAGTTACGACTTACAGGCTAAAACTTGTCTGGAATATCCAAAATTCAGATTCAGCATTCAGGTTGAGAATTCACTTCATGTCATTGCCAGTTACAAATGTTATGATATCTCTACCCCATCTGTGTCATGCCCTTAGCACAATGGACATTCATTGGCCTAAGTCACGGAAAACAGAACAAGTAGTTCTTAATCATCATTTTGTTTTTCGTCACTCACTTTTCTTAAGCATACGGCAAACACAAAATAGTCACCATCGAGCTAAGTTGTCGCCATGGAAATTGTATGGAAAAATTGATGTGGACTCCATTGTTCAAATTTTCAAATGCCTTTTTCTACTTCTTTTTTTATCTATCTTACATGTTCTTGTCTTCCTACTGCTACTGTTACTTGTCATGACAGAATTGTGATCGGTTGTGACCATGGAACCATTGTAGCAAAAGCTATCGGTTCTCACAGTTGGGATTCTGCAAACCTTAGTTGATATTGAGGAGTATGGCTGCTGCTAGGCAGCTAGGCCACTGCTATAGTACTATTGTGGTGTGTTTTGAAGCAAATCTAGAGGAATGCCATTTCATTATCGGCATAAATCTTTCTTATGACTGTGTTGTAAATCTTCTTCAATGTCTTTCTTCTCCTACTCTGTCTGTATTGTGTTTTTTGTAGCAACTCCAAGAGGATATGACTAGTGAGGTCACTACAATCATTCCTAATTTCCTCTATTGTATGTCATTTTGAAGTAATAAAATAATGTTGATGGTAAAATGTGTTGCTTTAGAGGATTAATATATTTTATGCTGAATATAAATGACCCCCCTGCCAAGAATGTGAATTTTAGGAATACTAGGCTTGTAGCAAGAAACAATTTGTAGTGTATTCAGAAATCATGTTTATGTATGGGTGAATATGCATTTTAGGAATAGTCGTGTTAACAAACAATTTGTGAATAAACTTATTCTAATATGTTCTTTCTTGTGATCAATTTGTCAATGCAATAAATTTCCAACACTGCATACAGAAATATCTCCCCAAGTTTCGAGAAAAAGAATATTTAGAACAGAAACTAAAGCACGCAAATATCCCCATCTCCGTAACCACATTTTTTTAAAACTGTTTTTCTGCATTTTCTACAAAGCAGTAAACCCTAGTTAAACAAAAGTGGGTGCAGAATCCCAAGTCTTCAGGATACAGCATGTGTTAACAAACAAATGATCAGACAATTGTAGAAAGGATGGAAATCACTCCCTTCTCTAGGTTTTTTAATGTTTCAGTGATCTGAAAATTTTAAGTTAGTCGAGCACAACCAAGAGAGAATGACTCCATTGAATCAGTTTCAAGTAGTGTGAATTATAAGATACAAAGCAACTAAACACAAGGGTTGGCAAATGATTACGACGGATGACCTGAGATTAACTAAGTTAGAGTAACAACTATGAGCTAAGATTAACCAAGTTAGGCTAGGGTACATTGATTTAGTGTAGATTTAAAGTAATGTTGCACCCTCAAGATCCCTTCTTCCTAGCACCTTATTTATAGAGGGGTTAGGGTGGTAAAAAAAAAAGTAATGTTTGGTTTATATATTGATAATCACATAGGTACGTGGAGAAATTATTATATGGTTCTGGGATCATTGGTCTGACCAATCACACAGTGACAAGTAAGTAATTACGTCAACTTTATTTCACGTTTTGCTTATATGTCATCATGTGATTGATAAGAAATACAATAATTTCTTGAGCGGAAGACGTCCCAAGAAACATACTGTCCACACCACTAACCCATTCCTTTCTTTGACTTGGCTTGTTTCTTCCCTTTTTTTATACTATTTGGAGAGTCCAATTGAGGCTTTCACTCTTTGGCTCATCCGTTGCCTTAGCTAGCCAGCAGACTAGGTTTTCTTCCTTGCCAGCCTGTCTCTTCAAGACCCAATAGCGTAGGATGCACATTTTTGGAGTTAACATAATTTTATAATTTTTATGCAATATTTAGAAGTTTCTTCTAACATCACGTGTTCGAGAAAAACAAATTTGGGTTTGTAATAAATAAATAAAAGAGGTTATTCTCGTAAATATATTCCAGAATGCGAAATAGACATTGACCTGTGTTAAACAAGACGTGGATATCAATAAAACAAAATGAATTCTAATCCAACTCCGAATGCCATGTGAGGGAGAGGCCAAATCTTTATACTTGGAGAAATTTCATCCAAGACAACAAAAGTAAAAGCGTGTTAGAATCTTTGCATCTTCTAATGAAACTTCATTCTATTGACTTGACTTTTCCAATTTTTGCTGCTCTCGAACTCAATATCCAACTAAGTTTCATCTCAGCCGTCAATTCTACCACATTTCATATCCAACGGGTCCAGGAGTATTGTATGACACATACACAACATTCAATGTATTTTGACAACAGAACATTCCAAGTAGTCACAATTTAATAATTTATTAAGTTGAGACATGAACATTTTCTTAACTACCCCAAGCATGGTATCATATAAATAGGGGTTTCACAACTACAAAGTTACAAACAGCTTAAGCCCCTCCTTTCTCAAACATAAATCTGCACTTTTTTCCTCCATTTTTTAGAATTTGTTCAGCTTCTTTAACATTTGACAATGGTAAGTTTATTTTCTGCTTTGTCTTCGAATTGTCTAAAAATAATTTGCATTTTATATATATATATATATATATATATATATATATATATATATATATATATATATATATATATATTATTGTCATCAACAGAGTTATAATTAGCCGTTCATAATGTTAGTTTGTATAGATTGCATCGCATTTAGAAAATTTTCATTAGAATTAGACAAACTCATCGAGAGTTATAAGTACTTTCTCACCTTCTAAAATAGAAGGTCAATGATTGAAGCCCATAACAGGAGTGTGAGTTTCATGTCCAAATAAAAATTTTAAAAAAATGATCTCAAAATCATGCTACATAAAGCGAGAGGTCGGAGCATTCATTAAAAGTATGCGTGATGAGGTTTTCCTAGTGATAACTTCTTTTATATATATATATATATATATATATATATGGGGTGATTTAATTCTCATGAAATTGAATTGAATATTTCATGTACTAACACCAGTCTTTTACTAATTCGTAATTGTTCAATACCGTGCGTGCATTTGGTTTAATTTTGAGTTGAGACTAATAAAATTTTGTTTGATCATGTCTTTGGATTTTATATCTGGCGATCAACAGCCTCTCACACTTGAATTCACGGTACATTGTTCTTCATTCGCTTTACATCTATGCCAAGATTTTTTTTTATTATTATTTCCTGAATAATTTATTATTATATTACTACTACTATTATTGTTATTATTTTGTATACTAACAGTAATTTCTGAATCAGAAGGAACTTGAACAAAGGTCAGAGAGAGTTAAGTCGGTGGATTTCCATCCAACACAGCCATGGTGATTATAAATTTTTTTGACCAGCATTGTTTTACCTTCTACATTGCTAATGTATAATTATTACTTACATAAGCAACAAATTACCAACTGTTTTCCTACTTCAATACAAATGGTGACTAGTGAATGCTGCAATATATTTAATGTAAAGAGAGTTTAAGAAAAAAAAAAAAAATGGTTCATGGTGAATTAAGTATTTGTTTTACTGAACTATGGCGCATAATACTTGTTCTTGCAGGATTCTAGCAAGTTTATATTCAGGAACAGTGTGTATTCGGAACTACCAGTCACAAGTAAGAAATTGCGTTTCTTTTACATAATTATGTTATGCTTGAAGTGATTGATTATTTCTGTTAAATTTAATCCTAATTAGCCATTTTCTATGGTTTTTAGTGATCCATCTCGGTAATATACCCAGGGTTTCTTAAATTCAGCAGCATCTTCTTCATATACTTATTTCCCGGCATCTATTTTCTCCGTTCCCTAAACTATTACATTTTGTGTTTGCATTTACCACTTATACTTTTACAGGCTATAGAGAAATCCTTCAAAGTAACAGAATCACCAGGTATACTAATCTCTACATTTTGTGTTTGCATTTCCCCCATAATCTAACACAATTCACTCGTCTTTACATTTCAACTTGTGTACGTGTTTTGCAGTAAGATCAGCGAAGTTCATAGCACGTGAAGACTGGGTTGTTGTTGGATCGGATGACAAGTTTATACGTGTATACAATTACAATACCAATGAAAAAGTTAAAGAATTTGAGGCGCACACAGATTATATCAGGTCTTTGGCTGTGCATCCTACCCTTCCATATGTTCTTTCCGCCTCTGATGACATGCTCGTAAAGCTTTGGGATTGGGAGAAGGATTGGGCTTGCACTCGAATCTTTGAGGGACACAGTCATTATGTCATGCAAGTAGCATTTAATCCAAGAGACACCAACACCTTTGCTAGTTCATCACTTGATTGCACAACGAAGGTACACCTAAGATTGTGTTTTGGCAACTTATAAAGTTCGTTTTTCGCTAGAGAAGGTATAATTGTGTATTTTTATTCTGTGGTAATTAATGTTTGCTTTTGCAGATTTGGGATCTTGGCTCCTCTAGTCCGAAATTCACTCTGGAGGGCCATTCAAATGGGGTAAATTGTGTTGGTTTCTTCACAGCTGGTGATAAACCATATCTGATCACTGGTTCTGATGACTATACCACTAAGGTCGGCCATATTGTTACTCATTTTTCAAGCCTAGTACAATTTGTTTTTAGTAGACATGCAATATAATTAGAATATATACTTACTGTTAGATCCTATGAAATCAGGTGTGGGATTATGAAACCAAAACTTGTGTCCAGACGCTACAAGGCCACACAAACAATGTAACAGCAATATGTGTTCATCCAGAAGTTCGCATTATTATTACAGGTTCTGAGGATGGGACTATTCGGATATGGCACGCAACAACTTACAGGTAACTTCTGTAAGGTGTAAAATAATTTATACTTAGTTCAGATGGCCAGAAAACGAAACAGCCTTAATTTTAACTCGGATACTATTCTCAATTTTAAATTTAACTCGAAAATAAAATCTTATACCATGAAAACTTGAGCATCTTCATATTATGAGTCCTAACACTTTTGAGTCTACTGCAGATCAATTGTTTTTCAATCAAATTATGTTTTAGTTCAGCTACTTTAAAGTTTCGAATTACTCAATCGCTCATTGTTTTACAGGCTTGAGAACACACTGAATTATGAACTCGGAAGAGTTTGGGATATTGGATGCATGAGAGATTCATCCCAGTAAGTTTTTTAGATAATTTTCTTCATTCATGTCTTTAGTAGTAAATTTCTAGGAAGATGCTCAACGTACTCTTTAATTATGAAAATATTGTTATGACATCTCTACCCCATCAGTGTCACGCCCTTAGCACAATGGACATTTATTCGTTAACTCATAGAAAACAGAATAAGCCATTCTTAATTATCCTTTTGTTTTCATAACTCACTTTTCTTATGCATGTAGCTGACACAAATTAGTCATATAAAGCTAAGTTGCGTCGCCATGACAAGTGTTTGGAAAAATGGATGTGGACTTCATTGTCCAAATTTTCAAATGCCTTTTTCTACTGCATTTTATCTTACTATTGTGTCCTTACTGCTACTATTACTTTTAATGCAGAATTGTAATTGGTTGCGACCAAGGAAAAATTATGGCAAAAGTTACCAGTTCTCACAGTTGGGATTCTACAAACCATGGTGATGACAAGGAAGATCCAAATGAAAAACTTCAATTCACCTGATGCTGACGAGTATGGCTACTGCTCTAGGCCACTGCTACTACAATATGGTGTGTTTTAGAGGAATAACTTCTATCTTCCAGTTGATAGAAATTTTTCTGATGTTCTGTTGTAAATCTTCTTCATTATCTTTCTTCTCCTACCCTGTGTGTATTTTGTGCTTTATAGAATCATTTGTAATGTCCTGTATTGTATTGTCATTTTGAAGTAATAAAATAATGTTGATTTAGAGGATTAATACATTTTATGCTAAATAAAAACGACCCATTCTATCAAAAAGATATTAGAGACTTGTCACTTTACTTGGGAATGATGTCTATGGCTTGATGAATTCAAATTTCAGGGATACTAGACATGTCCCAATAAACAATTTGCAGTGTATTCAGAAATAATCATGTTCATGTATCGGTGAATATACAAGGAAATGTTAAAAGTAAAACCTGAGGCATGCAGATCCCTAGCTACCTCTGCAACCACATTTTTTGAAGCTGAATTTCTGCACTCTCTACAAAGCACTCAACCCTAGTTAAACAAAAGTGGGTGCAGAATCCGAACAAGGATTGAACTCGGCAAGTCTTGAGGATGTAGCATGCATGTCCAATGCGATTAACCCCTTTGCCTTGAATGAGTATTCCCCACAGTTTGTGCTGCTGGCTGCTGATGCCCACACCATTCGACTTCTTTTCATCGCAAATGGCACCACCTTCTTCGCTACTATTTAGTTCCTCCACCAAGATAACGCCGTTGGGGGTGGGGATGGGACTCTCCGCCTCCCACAGTCCTCTAGCAACAGCCTTCTCTATCGTTATTTTGATTGAGGTGGATGATGATGAGGATGCTTTTTCATCATCTGAGTAGATGTGCACTAGCAAAGGTGCTTTGCCGATGTTACTCACAATCTATAAGAACCGCAAAAATTAAAAGGGAATTTAGTTTATAACAATTCTCATGCAAATAATTAAGCAAGAAGCATAATTCTGTTCTAATATATATTATATAATTGCAAGAAAGTTTAAAATATTAATGTTGGCATTTTTTTTTTTTTTTTTTTTTTTGTAGAATGAATAATTATTACTTGGACATCTCTCTCCCAGTCCTCTCCCTCATAGTTGATTCAATTAAGCTACTGGGCTTGACTTTGAAAATATGTATTAGTTTATTGATTGACTAAAATAACAATTAGATTGAGGCACATGGTGCAACATGACCTAGGCTCAAAGAACCCGGACCCTGTGTGCAGAAGAGAGATCCAAATTCAAGTAGTAATGAAAATACATTATTTTTTAAAATTGGCCTCCTCTAATTTTAAAAACCGATCTCAACTAACTAAATGTTATATTAATTTTTACTGTGCGTACTGATGACCTGGTATTCCCGGTAGCTACTTCAGACCATGGTGGTGGAGTCGGGTAAGAAGTGGGGTCGGCGGGTAAGAAATAATTGTCCTGTTCAATTAGTGAGATGGTGTGGCATCCCTAATAGGGCCCTATTGGACCTGAATCTGACGTAACATTGTTTCCTCAATAAATCAAAGTGATCATACACTTTTTTTTTTTCCTTTTTTAACAGATAATACACAATTGGATTGGAACTATTTGTTTATCACTTTCCTAGGAGGAATGCTTGCCCTTCAAAACAGAATCAATCTATCAATCTGTCCAATCACTCAAAGGAGTGTGGGTCCCACCACATTGGCCACCACTATTGTCTGGCCTCACCGCAGGGCCACCACTATTGTCTTGGCCGAATCGGGCCAAATACAAAACAATTTTCAGAATAATAAGAATATATATATATATATATATATATATACACATGCAGTGTGTATAATATAGGAAAAGTGTGGCTGACCTCTGTGACGCAATCTCTGATCCAGTGATCGAGCTTTTGAGAAATACGGTCATCTTCATCGTCCTCAACAATCCTTGTGTTTTTGTGGACGTTATTCATTTCCCTCCAGTGGAGACCGATCGAATCACCCAACAGAGATGGGTTTTGGGTTGGATTGTAGGCCTCTAGCTGGTGATTGTTAACAAGTCTGAGACTGCAGTGGGCGAATTGTGATTTCTGCTTCTTCTTCTGCTGCCACAACTTGGGATCTTTAAAAAACAACTTATTGTTACTAATCACAACTCCTTTTTCTTTGGCCAAACCATGCTGCTCTTCTGAATTCACCTGCACACCACTGTTGCACCAATGCACACGCAACCCACCACATGCCATGTTAATTGTGCTTAATTTACAATTAACTCCCCAAATATATAAATATATTGCCAAAAAAATAATCAATCTAATACACAAATTTTTATATCACAATTCAAAAAAAAGTTTGATTTCTGTATATAGATCGGATCAGAAGGAATTAATGAGGAGGAGAAGAATACAACGATATATATATATGTATATCACTGTATATGTATATAAGAGGATCGGAGAAAGGAAAGAGGCAAAACTAAGGTCTTTGGGCGATTAATGTGCGTTGAAAGACAGAGGAACGATTGTTGAGGAGGAAAATCTTTTTCAGCCCTCGCCTGCTCTCTCGCTCTGTTCTTTGCCGCATATATATAGATGTATATATAAAGTAGCGGCCAGGAATAGTATAGTGCAAGAAAGTCCGACGTGGCAAGCCATGGCTCGTCCGCTTACTTGCACGTTCCTGCGTACGAACTCCTTGCGTTTGATTCGTGCATCTGCGAGCCTAACTCTATTCCACGTCATCATTTATTTCCACCTCATTATTTGTCCATATTAATTGAGAAAATGTTAAAAGAAATGAATTTGAAAATAAATAAATTTGAAATTAATAGGTTTGCGCGTCTATTTTGTATGAAAAAAAAAATGTAAATTAAAAGGTCGTTTTATTCTTATATTGTGAAAATTAAATGTTATTTATCTAAATATTAAGAAATGAACATGTTACTTAAGTGTACTCTTGCAAAGTCACAAAACACCATGGTACCTCCTACAGTAAAAATGGCAACAAAAATTGCCATTGTCGGTGCATTGCTCTCCTTTAATCCCACATGTGTGTTGGTTGAATGGCTAATTATAAATATATGTGAAGAATTGGTTGATTGACATTTGTATGTTCAAATCAATGAAGCTTTGTGCTCTAGATCAATAAAATGTGTATGAATGTCTCTAATCAAATCCCTTGTGGCGAAAAAATAATAATAAATAATTAAAATATCAATTAAGTGAACTAGGGTTTACAAACGTCAGTCTCCTAATGATTATAAATAAATCAGCCATGTTTTTTATGTGTGTTTTTTTTTAGGCCACATCAGACCAAAATACATGAAATACATGTTTAAACTAATATGGACAAGTTGAATCAGGCATGCCAAAGTTTGAACCGGTGAAACTGCTCTCAAAGTTTTGTAAAAGATTTGACATTCCTAGCTTCATTGAGAACTCTAAACTAAACGGATAATATATTGTTGGAAAGCTTGTAAGTTTGCTTTCCGGCCATACGAAGATCATAACAATATTATAAGTATGAAATTAGTTTTTTTTTTTTTAAAAGGTAAGGATGAAATTAGTTTATACTAAAAAAAAATGAAGCATAAAGGTTAGATTTTGACTAAATACAATACCATATATTCTCTATATCCCAAAATACATGTCTTAGATAATTCAAGAGTTTTAATAATTATTTATTGTATGGATAAGAGTGAGGTGTCAAGGAATAATTACACTAACTTCCTTGAAGTTTCGTCATTATACACTGACCTCCCCTCTTATTAGCCAAATAACACTGACCTCCCTCAACATTTATATACTCATAACTAACTGAAAAGTATGATGTCAGCCATTTTTAATTTGTAAATTCCCAATCTACCCTTGCAAGACATGTAAATAAAACAATTAAAATGTCTAAAATACCCTATAATTATTTATCCTCTATCCCCGTATTCTCTTCCCCACTCTCTACACAACCCCGAACACCACACTAAAACTCAAAATTCAAATCCCAAAATGTTTATTTTTTTCCCTCAATTTTCTCATGTTTGATTCTACGTCTTTTCTCGAAAGAAAAAATAAAAATAATAATTGTTCACGGCATCGTGGTCGCCAACACCACCACGTCGTCACTAGTAAGTTTAGTGCACCGCCCGCCCGCCCGCTGAGAAGCTGTTCTCTTCAGCCATCCTTACTCAATATCTCTCTCTATCCAAATATTTCTATCTATAGTATATTTCAGAGAATGCAAATGTGAAAAGGAAAGAAATAAATTTGGTGTCGGCAGAATAGGAAAATCAAAGAAAATGAAATTTGAAATGAAAAGGTTAAGACATTGAATTGAATATATTAATGGGTAATTTACACAAACCTCCCCTATAATTTGCCATAATTACAGGGACCTCCCCTCTTGTTTGAAAAATTACTCGGACCTCCTCTAATTTTGAAAATATTCTACACGGACCTCCCTTATATGTGACGAACCGTCAAGTATACTAATGGACATGGCTAATTTACTGAAATGCCCTTAATTTTTTATAGTAAATTACTGAAGTATCCACTCTCTCTCCATATATATATAGAAAGAGAAAGAAAAACAAAAACAAAAAAAAAAATTAAATCACTGTTTGGGGTCGCCATCAACCACGCCACCGCCACCAACATCTCTTTTTTCCTGCATCTTTGTATTTATGTATATATATATATATTCTATAATTCAACACAACACTGAGAAAACAAAGACCTTCATTCTTTCAGTCTAGAGCATCTATCATTTCTTCTGCTTTATTTAATACAAGCCAAGAAAAAACCTGGCAGTGACATACTACTGAGCACGCAAATCCCCATTCCTTCTTCAAGCATTCTCCGACAATGGCATGGGTCGAGCATCAGATCGACCGGGTTGAGACGACATTGCATGAATCAATTCGTCAGGCATCCCGCTAGAACCACGTACTAGATGTATTCGGGGCTCCGCCCCTTTGATACCACAGTTGGGTATATCTGATATGAGAGAGGTGAGAGAAGATAATTTCAAGATCAAAGGCATTGTAGAGAGAAAAGAGGCGGGCGAGGGCGAAGATTGCAAGAGATTCGGAAAAGTCGTAATGGGTGTCGACAAAAACAAATCAAAATCATAAAATTAAGGGAAGTCTTTGAATGAAGATGGAATTATAGAGAGAGAGACACAAACTTTTAGAGAGAATGTGGGTATGTGCCGTGTTGTTCTAGAAAGAGATTAAAATCCCAAAAATAATATTGCAAGAATTGTATGAATTTGTTGTGGGTGTTGTTTGAATTTAACCCATTTTTCCTTTTGAATAGTAAAATTGGAATTGAAAAGCTTTGATTGATTATTCAATGTTCTTCAACCACCTCACGTTTTAATAAAATTATTTGATGAGCGCTGAAAAATGCGTATTTAAATCCCTTAAACTTAGGCATTCTAGTACCTTTATCTATCTTACTTTACCGTTTTAAATTGATTTCGTATTATTTCTATTTTCAAGCACTTATCCCGAAAATAAGCTAACTCAGCCAAATAAGAGCTTAATTGAAGCAATTCTGGGATTAAACAAAGAAATGAGCAAAGTGGAGAAAGAATGAAGCAAATGAAGCCAAAGGTGGAAAGCAGCAAAGTTCGAGCGATCCAACTTCAAGGTTCGATCGATCGAATAATGATCAATCTCAGCACTTCAAGATAGATCCAAGCCTTGGCCCAAAAGCAAAAAGTCCAAAGTTTGATCGCTCCAACACCACCATTCGATCGATCGAACACTTTTGTCCTTATTCAAATGATTGATCCTATCCATAGTTGTACCACCCACTAACCACTTTTGTCCTTTTCCCAAAAATATCTCCCAAAAATATCTCGGATTTGTCTTTTCCCAAAAAGCTCAACCAGTTGGATCGATCCAGACTAAGTTCAATGGATCTCAGCCAGTTTAATCGATCCAAGTCCAAGGTTCGATCGATCGAACTTCTTCTGGTGCGAAAAAGTTAAATTTCCATCTCATTGAAAGTTGTCATTTATCCAATCATTAGGGAATATTGTGTGCACGACCCCAGCTCATTTTGGGTGTCATTTGACCTACCTATATAAGGATAAGTATTGCTTTTTACAAAGAGGAGCTAATATACAATTCTAGGGTTTATTCTCTTGGAGAGTGTGATACCCCTCGATTCTAGCACCACGGGTGATCAAGTCCGAGCACAGATCCGAGGGATATTAGACAATTAATATGTAACCAGGCAAGAATAAAACTGAATTAAGAATAAAATAATAATGCGCTGAAAGAAACTAAAAATGAAAATCCTCAAACCTTAAATAATAAATTAATATAATTTAAATCCGTACAACTCGGGAATCCACCTAGTGGACCCCTAATTCCAATACTTTAAATAAATTTACAGAATTAAAATCCAAAACCAAAATAGAAAGGAAATCCTATGTAACTGGAAAAGTGAGTGTCTGTGTCTGCATCAACACGATCAAACTCTAAGCCTGGTACTGGCGAATACTTGAAAAAATAGAAGTGGGTCAGGCCCACATGCAAGTTCCAATCTACTATAATCCGTACATAAACCCGATACGCAGATACATCCTTGATAGCTCGGCAATATCTACAATAGTCCATATATATATATATACACACTATAGGATGCTCACTAGCTTATAACATAGTTCAGCCTGGGTAGAAGGTGACATATAAAACACGCTTTTCAGCGGCCAAGTACCTAGACTTACCAGGGAACATTAGCTATATCTAGCTACCCAACCTTTGCAATATATGCACCTTAACCGTGATCAAAAGACTCAAACTCGTATCACGGTACCATAAATATATATAGAAACTTCTTCCTAATGCAGAAAGATAAAACAAACATCCGTTATGTCGTTCAACTGTTTTAGTTGACAGGACATGCATCCATGTAGGATTTAACTGTTTTAGTTAATCCATTCCATATGTATGAAGGGGTAGGACTTAACTTTTTGATCTAATCCATCCCTGATATGTCACCGTCCCATACAGGTACATATAATGCAAATGATCCACCAATGATGCACATTCATTAGAACATCAAGTATATCCATGAACCACCATAATAGAAAACAGGCATTATTAAGATCCTATTATGCATCCAGTATATGATTATAATCATAAAACTCCTGTTAAATTGTTATAGTACTGTTAAACAATTTAAATTATCCACATCCATCCAATTGACAAAACAGAAACTAAATCAGTTCATCAATTAACAACCATAGCAGGGTATAATGATTATCAGACTTATGAACTGAGCACAATATACCGTTCAACCCAAACCATACCCTCATACTAGTTCATTTAAATCATTAAAACAAATACTAGTAATGCACACCTCCTTAACCCCCTGACGGCATAAAATTTATGTTTGCATCATATGACATCCTTTTAATCCTCCAACTTAAAACCTGTGCTTGATATAGTATAACACAGAGAAGTCAAACTGTACCTCATATAAGTCCCCAATGGTACAATATACTAGCTCATTTAACTGGTGAAAATAACCCAATAGTTAGAACTTCCTCCACTCCTTACAGCATGCA